AAGAGTTTCTTGCTTCATCCCTCAAAGACAATAAAGTTCCATTAGTCTTGTTTATACATTGTCATTAAAACAAATTAGCATCACATGATATCTTGCCTCCCCTGCCTCCCAAGGCATGGAATTTTACAATATAAACAACCAGGCCCACCATTAGGCAGAGTGAGGCAACCCCCTCAGGAAACTGGTTTTGGGTGTTGTGAAAGGGCAGCTAATGTGTTAGTTATTTAATTTATTATTACTGCATTTTAGTCCCAAGGAGAGATGCCTGTGGGCATTTCTGCCTCAAGTGCCAAAAAACATAGCCGGCCTTGGGTGCAATCAGGCACAGCACCAGACGTCAGTGAGGCTGTACACTAGATGAGGGCCCAGAGGCTTAAAAGGGTCCCTCACTGGCCTAACCCAGCTGCATCACCATTTCAAGCTCTACCCTCCAGCCTCCCAAATGCTTTTCAGTGGCAGTGCCACTCTCAAATAAGAGTCATGCTTAGCTCCTATCCACAGAGGCCACCCACCATTTTAAGTTACCCAAAATGCAATGCTTCCACCTAAAGATGCATTTCATAAATCTATAATCTAGGAAAGACTTCCCAGCAACTTTGGATCCATAAACCCGCCTTGACACACACACGCCTGACACACCCAGGCCAATGGATACGGCCTTGCCTGACTCATCTGGCTCAGGGCACATCCATTTGAGGCAGCTCTCACCACCCCTATGCAATGGGAACCAATGGCTGCAGAATAAGGCAATGGCCCTTTAAACAACAGAACCTTCCTGTTGGTCCCGCTCCCTCTAGGGTGTTATCAGACTGGCCAGCCAGCGGTTTGGTGGTCATTCACACTACCCTGTTCTCACCTTACCTGGTCCCAGGTCTTCAATACATAATAACTCTGCTGACATTCTGGGTGCCCTGGACTCTTACTTGTCCCCCTCCCACAGTGGGGACCCCAACTAGAGGGGAACAGAGGAAGAGCATCATGACTGGACAGCGCTACCCTTGTCTTGAATACATTACATGAATGCAGAAGGCTTTGGGTTTGAATTTCAGATCTTCAGGGGGTTCCAATATAGCTCCCGATTCTCCTTTCATCAATCTTACCCTTCAGTACTTTTATCAAATTCATCCTTCAGCTCTAGAACACTCCTCCAGGAATTGCTTTTAATTCATTTTTAATCTGTGGGTAGTAGATTACTCCACCCACAAGCACACTCAAATGTAGGACCGCATTCAAAGGTCACTTCCTGAGCAATATCATTCTATCACTCAGGATTTAACAGCATATGAGCTCTAAAAGTTTTAACTGACCTAAGTGCTCTACGACCATGCAGGTAAACCTGTGTTCTTCACCTGCATAGCAACTCAAAAGTAGCACAAGGCTTCCTATATGAATTCAACATCTGCCCTTATAAGTAATGAGGAAAAGTGCCATTGAAGAATATACCAACTGGCAGCTTCTAGGCTGGCTCCAATCTCTATAGAAATGTTATCTGGCCCCTGGCAGGTAATGGTGATTTAAAAAGTATGCACTCACAAGAAAAAGAAAAACCAAGAGACAGAGTTATTCTATACTTCAGTGTTCTTTCTTATTAGATAGCATATCTCATACCCAAGCTTGTTATTGCATATTTGCCCTTTAATTAAAAATGTGCCAGCTTTATAAACCCCAATCCCCTCATGAAGAGTTTGGTTGATGTCTCAAGAAAAGACACTGCTATCTGAGATGACAAATAGTGGCGCTCCATAGTATAGAGGGTTATTTTCTGCCATGAACATGAAACTTAAGAAATGAAAGGTAAGGTAGCTATGGCTGCATAATCATTTTAAAGCCTTCTAGAAAGGTGACATGAGCTTTATAGAGTTTAAATAAATTTTTGATACCAAACACTTCAGTTCAGTTCTAGGCATCACAATTTAAGAAGGCTATTGACAATCTGGAATGTGTGCAGAGGAGAACAACCAATATGATCAAGGATCTGGAAACCAAACCTCATGAGGAACAGTTGAGAGAGCTGGATATGCGTAGCCTGGAAAATAAGAGACTGAAAGGAGATATGACAGCCACTTTCAAATATCTAAAGGGCTGCTGCATGAAAGATAGAGCAAGCTTGTTTTCCCCTGTTCCGAAGGATAGGACTTAAACCAGTGGCTTCAAGTAAAAGAAAGGAAATTCTGACTAAACACGAGGAAGAACTTTCTGATAGTAAGAGATGCTTGAGCTTGCTGGTCGGACAGCAGTTCGAATCTGTGTGACGAGGTGAGCTCCTGTTGCTTTGTCCCAGCTGCCGCCAACTTTGCAGTTCGAAAGCATACCAGAGCGAGTAGAGAAATAGGTACCACTGTGGTGGAGAGATAAGCAGTGTTTCCATGTGCTCTGGCTTCCATCACAGTGGTCTGTTGTGCCAGAAGTGGTTTAGTCATGCTGGCCACATAACTCGAAAAGCTGTCTGTGGACAAATGCCAGCTCGCTCAGCCTGAAGCAAGATGAGTGCTGCACCCCATAGTCAAATTCGACTGGACCTAACTGCCCAGGGGTCCTTTACCTTTACTTTTATTAAGGTAACAAAGAGTGGCTGTGTGCCAGACGATAAATGGGTGGGCCTCCCTGCCTCAACTCACTGGCAGTTTGAGGTACATGAGCTTAAAGCTAGAAGTTGGCAGACTGGGCAGGTGAGAGACAGAACAATGCTTGATTTCTGTTGTACTCCAAGGCTGTGGCTATGGGAGAAACAAGAACCTTTTGGGGTGTTGATGCTGTGAGCCCTTCCTTCATAGGTTCAGGTCGTATGAATGAGTAAATAAACCATATATCTTAAAGACACCATAGTCTCTGCTGCATCTCATTCCAAAGGAAATACGAACCCTGGGTAAGCACCTGGAACCCCTGGAATCTTGCATCACTCAGAGAATGGGGTGGCATGCAACAATATGAAGATCATAAATTAAAAGTAAAATAAATATGGAGGGAAAGAACAAATGGCCCATCAAGGTCCTGTACTCCACTGCCCCCCTTTTCTGCAATTATTCATGTTCAGGTGTATGAGTGTTAGATCTGTTGGGTTCTCAAACACAACTTTCCATCCCAGATTTTCTGGTTTGGGATTAAGACAATTATGACTGAGAGATTATAAAACCTAGACACGCTGACCTTCACTGCTGCTGATTATGACTGAAAAAGGAATTGCAATACTAATAACAGAACAAGGCTAGAAAACAAAGCAGTCAACCATTCATACGAGTTTTAACCATGTAGGTACTGCTGGTTTGTTGCATTCATCATCAGCAGAAGATAACAAGACTTGAAGAGGCAGGATTGGCTAAAGAAAAGATGCAAATGAAGCAACACCAAGTATTGTTGCCTCAGGAATCGCCTGGATACTGTTCCTTTCAGAAAAATGCCCTATGCTTGCCAGCATTTTAGCTTGGAGGGCTAGGGTAAGCCATATGCATGCATTGATCCATGTTGAAGGTGATTAGAAATGATAGCACAGCCGCTCAGATATAATTTCTGCAGTCATCTCACAGAGAAAGCTCAAAACTATTTAACCCTTCTTGAGAAACAGCTTCTCAAATGCTATAGTAGTATCCTTTGAAGAAATGAACATCCGTTGAAAGAAATAGTGTTTCTGTTTAAGCTCATGTTGAACTAATGACATTGCTAAGCAGAGGGACTGATTTCTCCCCAAGGCACACTTTGTTTTTTCAAACATGGCACACATAGAGTGTGTGTGTGTGTGTGTGTGTGTGTGTGTGTGTGTGTGTATTAGTTGATACGTATCTGGTCAGCAAATTCCATTTGCATGCACATATATCTTCCTGCACACTCTGACCAGACATGATTTTACATGTCAGACACTTCAATAATAGTGGCCATAGCTGCAAACTGGAAAGGTTGCTCTGCAATATACACCATGCATCAATTAAATTTGAAACTCTTTTAAAATCAACCAAGCAACCAAACACACACAAAAGTGTAAGACCTCATTTTGATGGACTCAAGTCACTTTTACAGTTTTCTGTGTAGCCACAGTGACTCCCACATAGATTTACACTTATGGCATTCATGAACATAGAAGAGTGTTGATTGAAAAGCTTCAACTTCCAGTGGCACCAAATAACAATTATTATTGTTATTGTTATTGTTATTACCCTGCCCATCTGGCTAGGTTTCCCCAGCCACTCTGAGCGAACATATTTAGGATGCATACTTGAATTTGCTAAGTGGTAGTTGTAGATCTACTGTTGTGGAAGTGAGATTCCACCAATAGAGACACAATTCTTAAATCATAATTTCAACACTATTTTTCATCATTATTTTAAAGCTCAAATGAATGTATGAAATGGCCCTCAAGTTAGGGCCAACACTGGATAACCTGCTTCCCTAAGGCTACTGATATCAGCTGGTATTATCCAATGGTCATATGGCTGATAAGGAAAAGAGTACATAAAAAGCAAAGGTAGAGGTGTTCCGCCATATGCAAAAGCTCAAAATCCACAGTTGGGTAGTGTGGTTTGCACATAACTCTCTTGTGCCTTGAAGCCTTGAAGAAGCACAAGCACTATAGCAACGTAATTTTCTAACATCTAAAGATGGGCTTTGCATTTTGAGAGTTACATCCTCTCCAAGCCACTAGGTAATACTCGCTATTTGTTTTCAATTGATTCTTCTACCTAAATTAATGTTTTGCTAATATACAGACTATCATGTTTTTCTTTGCATCTGCTTTCTGCCTAGCCAGGAATCTGTATGTTTTGCTTAAGGAATGGGACAGACCTGTATAACCACCAGTCTTTTGCGCTTTCAAAAATGGGAAACAACAATTGCTTCTCTATTCCAGAATTCTATGTGTACAACTTTATATCTGTAACCCCTAGTGGAGACTTATCAACTACAATCTCCATCTTTGAACTGAGTCTATAAGCTGACCTAATAGCTACAACATTCAACCTAATTTTTGTATGTTTTTGTTTATTTTTCCACCTCCACCTGCACTGTGTAACATCTAGACTGTGACACAATGGGTAAGTGTGTCTGGCTGTTAACCAGAAGCTTGGTGGTTTGAGCCCACCCAGGGACAGCTGTGGAGAGAAATCCAGCACTGCAGGGGGTTGGACCAGGTGAACCTTGGGGTCCCTTCCCTCTCTACGATTCTATGATCTTGCCTAATAAAGACTTCTGAAAAACTCAAAAGCCTGATACGACTTTGTGACATAAAATGAAACGGTATTCACTGGAATTTCCTCTTAGCTTCATGTAAATATAGACATGCTTGGTTCCATCCCAGAATTTGGGTATTTTTACATCTTAGTTTATGCTACCAGTCTGAAGACTTCTACAGTCATACATGTATTTTTAAATTGGCAACTTACATTTTTTTTGAAGCTGAATATATGAGCGCACAGACATTTGGAGACAGCAACTGTGGGGAAAGGCCTGAAACTAAAATGTATCATGGTTTGAAAATGAAAAATGCCACAAAATTTACCTACCACAATTACAAACTGACCTGTCAGATTTCAAGCATCCCCCTTGCACATAGGCTGGAAACTCACCACACCCCTAGTCTTTCAAGAGAAGATAAGAACTAGGAAATATTGTCTATCTTTTACTTCCACCTTCCTAGGTTGTTGAAAGGTGCCAATGACCTATGTCTCTTTGTGTACATCCCAATTCTCCCCTCCATGTATGCTCAAGCTTTCATGGTCATACTCATGGAGGATCTAATGCCCCGTCAACCCCTCTCCTGATTTCACAAAGTTAAAAATAGCAGTTATTTCCTGTGAAAATTTGTCATCTGTTGGAAAACATGGGTGATCACCACTCCTCACAAGTATATTTGAGATTCTTCTTTAGCCTAGGTCACTTAGAGAGTAAATAGTTCTGTTTCTTTTTTATTTTTTAATGCTACTTGTTTTTCCTTAATATCTCCACCCCTAATCCCAATAGGGTTTTTTAGTTTTGTTTGTTTGTTTTTGTTTGGTTTTTTTAAAAAATTGGAACCTAGGATCTGACAGTATGAATTGAAATATCTTTCTCCGGAATGCTGGTCTGTACTGTTATGCCATCATGCTTAGACCTAGAGGAGGGTTAAAGGGAAAACAGATGGAACTCACCCAGCTAGCAGGAGAGATAGCAGGCTGTTGACCCCTCACAGACTGAAAATTGAGCCATAGCTCTTGTGAATTCCTCTTGCTCAACAGTTAGGTTGAACTGAGAGGTGGTGGCAGCAGGATGGTCTTGGCTTCAAGGCAGCTTAGACAGTCTCCACAGCACCCACCCATGAAGGTGCATATAGAAGACAAAGGACTACTGTTTCAAACAAAAAAGAGAAGTCCTGCCAAGCATACATGGACACTTTGGTGAAGTTTAAAAAAGGAATGTGGTCATAGAAATTAAAAGAGCATTATTAACTTTCAGTCTTTTCAGTCTTTTCCTACTCATTCCACACGTCTGCCTGCACATTTACCCAGATGAGTGATAACATCAGACATCTTGGATGTACAGTTGACACACCACAACATTCATTTATACACTAACATCAACTACGGCAACATAAAGGGAACTGGCATATACACAAGAAGCCTGGTTACTCTGACAGTTCATTACATTAGGCAGCATGTGATGACACTTATGAAGACATAATTGTATTGATGCTTTTTTTAAAAAAAAATAATTTTTCAATTCTTTTTATCACCCCACTTAACACAATGGTTCTAATCAACATGGGCAAAACTATAAAATCAGTATTTTCTTGATCAGTCCATTGTAGAAAAATGAATCATTTAACAAAAATATTATGTAAATCTAAACCTGTGCCATCTGTTGAGGTTGGGGGAAGAGGTTATCCATTTTTCACCAGTATTTGTTCATGTGGAGATTAACACAGTAGGACCTGCCTCACCATTATGAGGTTGTCATTATCTACCACAGAAGGTAGAATGACTTCCTCTCTAGAAAGCAGAGCGGTGAACTGTCATTCCAGAAGCTTTGGGGGAGAGGAAAATAGCAATACTGGTGGCAGTTTTATACATTTAAAAGCAAGAATAATAAAGCTGCTTTTTTAATACAGTAAAAGGGGGGGGCAAGAGGGAACTGCACATAACAAGCATCTCTTCTTTACTACTACTACTCTCAGAGTATTACTACTCCACCATGAATATGAGTGACAAACGGAGGCCGTTTCAGTCTAGCACCAGTTTGTATAGAGTTCTCAAATTGCCCCCCTCCCACAGCTGGCTGTAGAGACTCCTTGATCCCCGTTCCACTTCATGCATTCAGAATACATGCAAAAGGGAGGTGTGGAAGGGACTACAGTGGCTACACTACAAACTGGAGAAATCCTGCCCAGAGCGCAAGAAGTGTATCATGAACCTATCAGGACATACAAGCATGAGAACACATGACATTAATATATCTTGCCCAATAATTCATGAGATCCACAAGCGGAACTGATTTAGAACTCATGTGTAAACTATTCAAACATGGTTGACAATAATAGCTCATAATAAAGTATCAGTTCTGAAGACTACATTTTAACAGCAAACATATCTGCCAACAGACACCCAAATTGTATTAGATTATGTGAATGCTCAAAGTTTTATTCATGAGGTTCATAAATGCTGATGGTCAGAGAGGTTTCAGAACGTACAACATTTCTTGCACTTTTCAGGCATTATAAGTGTTAAGTTACCATCCAAAAGTGGTCAGTGGAGATAAGTGCACTAGCACTCCCTCCCCACACCACCCTCCACCAACTCATGAAGGGTAAACTTCTCAGGAACAAAGCCTACTGGACTTGCAGAGGCTCACCACCTGTTTTGGAACCCTAGAAAGTCAGGGTTCTAAAATGCAGGGGGAGCTTCCAAAAGTACAAAAGACTTTGTGCTTCATGTGTTGGAAAGTAATGAGAACTGTGATGGGGATAGGCATAACTAGTGCACTCATCCCTGCACCACCACCCATCATGTGGTAACAACACTAGGTGAAATGTTGGACAGTTTTGGGAAGCATTTTGAAGGTGCTTCCTTGAAGATCTCCTGTAGGATTATGAATAAACAGTGTATCGTATTAGTGCAAAGGGATGTGGGTGGCTCTGTGGTCTAAACCACTGAGCCTCTTGCAGTTGCTGATTGGAAAGTTGGCAATTCGAATCCATGCAATGGGGTGAGCTCCCATTGCCCTGTGCCAGCTTCTGCAAGCCTAGCAGTTCAAAAGCATACCAGAGCAAGTAGAGAAATAGGTATCACTGTGGCAGGAAGGAAAACGGTGTTTCCATGTGCTCTGGCTTCCATCATGGTGTCCCATTGCACCAGAAGCAGTTTAGTCATGCTGGCCACATGACCTGGAATGCTGTCTGTGGACAAACGCCAGCTCCCTTGGCCTGAAGTGAGATGAGCACTGCACCCCATAGTCGCCTTTGACTGGACTTAACCATCCAGGGGTCCTTTACCTTTACCTACCGGTACCTAACCATATTAGTTCAAATCAAACACATGTGCAAAAGAGGTAAAGGGGTTGTGCTGGAAAGATTGTGAGGAGAGAGGTTAGTTTGAGCATACATGATGATTATATCAGGAAAGAGATGTTCATAGCTCAATGAAACTGTTGAGAGAATGTATGGCACCTGTGAAATAGGTGAATTCCACACTAAAGATCATTACGAAAGGAACTGAATATTTTAAAAAATCTATATGGTAACGTCTACCTACAAATCTATAGTTCAACCACACTTCAAATATCGTGTATCAAAAAAGCTATTGAAGAGCTCAAAAGGGTACAACAAAACTCCAGACTTATCCGGAAGAGTGGTGCAACTTCTCTGTGGTAAAAATTTACAGCGCTTGCAGTTATTTAGTTTAAGGGGTGGTGGACATGGTATATAAAATTATGGATGGCATGAAGAAAGTGGATAGAGAGAATATTTTCCTCCTCTCTTTTAGTATAAGCATCCAGAATTGTCCAAATGAAGCTGAGTAGGGGAACATTAAGGACAGACAAGAGTAGCTCTTCACACAGCAACCCATAGAATTTGCTCCCTCAACTTAGCCGGCCACAAACTTTAAAGGAGATTTACCTAAAACCTTTAGAAAGGGAATTACACAAATTCATGGAGTCATAACTAACCACAATGGCTATATACTACCTGCAGCATAAGAGTCAGCATACCTCTGAATATCAGTTGCTGGAGAACACAAGTAGGATGAGTGTGCTGTACTCATTTCCTACTTGTGGCCTTCCCATAGGCATCCATTAACCAGTGTGGAAAATAGAATGCCAGCAAGGCTCTTCTTATGTTTTGGAACCTTGAGAGAACATAATATTCTACGTAATCCCTGATGGATCTTGTTAAATGGAGAATGGGATAATGTGGTTTATTAGCTGCAAAGAGATAATTAATCTGTGAATGGCAAAACTGTGTGTTGTTGAATCCTGGAGAGATAGTTAGACACCTTCTATTTCTCAGTGGAGGTAAAAATGAAGGGGCAATACTGTGATACAGAAAACTGATTTAGTACACATTGCATGTGGATTTTATCAGAAGGGTGACAAAATTATTGGAAAACTAGAATCCTTTCTCTGTTTATGGGCTGTGTACACACTGTGTGCACACAGATTCAATGCATCCCATGTGTGCATGGTTTTTTTTCATCATCCACATGACATTGTTCCATCCAAGTGACAGTCTGCATTTACCGGTAATTCAAATCTTCCCAATCCATGGATAAAATCATAGGGAGGGGGTGGAATCCAACAGAAAATTGCATGTTACCTGACTGTGGACACACTGAAGTGTATTATGGGTGGAATTTTTTTATATGTGTGGTGAGGTTTTGCTGTGTCATCCATCACCATACCCCCTGCTTCCACTGGGAAGGTATTCCTTGGTGAACTACTGGTGGAACTGGGTAGGACACACATTTTTTAACATTCTTTTTAACCGACCATTTTGTGAAAATCTGGCATATCAGAAAACTTGTATTTCAAAAGAAACATGGCAATGACAAATATCTGCATGCATGCCCACCATGGACCTCAGTTTTCTGGAATTCAGGGGTGTGTGTGCAAGGAAGTACTAACTGAGGGGAGGGGACAACAACACAGAGTGGGAAGGGTGACAACTCAGTGGACGAGCATCTGCTTTGCATACAAGAGGTCCCAGGTATAATCCCTTGCATTTCCAGGTAGGAGACACACCAGCCAGAAACATTGGAGAGCTGCTGCCAGTCAGTGTAGATAATACTGAACTAGATGGATCAGTGGTCTGACTTGGTGTAAGACAGCTTCCCATGTTCAAATGCATCCCAGCAAACACTACCAACTATTGTGGACTTGAAACAGTGCTCATGTGTAGACAAAAATGCAAACAGAAAAAATGGATCTGTGTAACCCCTTCATTCCCTGGTGTGTACACAGACACTGATAGCCATAAATTTGCGTGGATTAGATTGACACATAAATACAATCAATTCATAACATTAGTTGCAAGTTACAGGGTTTGTATGAATGTGAAAGGACTTAAATGTCATGCTTGGGAGTAGGGGTGTTTGTTGAAATTTGTATCCATGTAGCTTTTTGTAAATAGTGACAAATCCAAATAAACTGAATTACAAAAAAAAAAAAAGCTACGTAAGTAATCAAAGAATATGTTTTTCAGTTGGCCAGCAGCATAGTAATCTGTATTCATAAATGGTTCAACACAGTGTGTGCTGCCCAGAACTTAGCTATTTTTATAGTTATAAGGATTGCCAAGAAAACAAAAAATAGAGGGGAAAGCACTGAAAGACGATAAGCATTTAAACTTTGATGAGCAATAATAATAATTTTGGTCTTTAAAATGAAAGCAAAGACTGGAAGTGAAAGAGAGAATCAACAGATTCAAGAAGTACCTATGTAATCTTCAGTTAATGTTGGATGGAGATACCTAAAACCACTCTAGAATTAGTATGGGCTGAACCAACTGATTCCACCCCACTGCTACAAAGTCCATTAGAGCTTTCTGTTCCAGCGCTCTTACTCTTCAGCACTCATAAACTCGTTTCATGTATACATTCCAGGAATGAACACACATGTCTGCAAAAAGGCATCTTGGCTGCAGGCTCTGCCCCCAGTCTATACACGTTTATTAGAATTTCTAAAGAGTCCCCATTCAAGCAGCTGTACACATGACAGACTCTCTCCAGATGTTCTAATCAATATGCATGGTTCAGGAGTGGAATCTGCTGTGCTTATCCCTCACATGAATTTAATTCATTAGCCTCAGAATCAGCTCCTAAAAAGAGTGTGGCTTTCCAGTCTTTGAGGTAGGCGTGGGGAACCTGTGGTCCTTCAGATGGTGCTAGACTACAGTTCCCATCATCCCTGATCATTAGCTATGCTGGCTGGGGTTGGCGGCCAGTCAAGTCCCACAACATCTATAGTGCCATGAGTTTCCCATCCCTGATCTGTTCTAGACCATTATTTGATCACAATGTGCTATTCAAAGAATAGGAAGTTTAGAGTTAGAATCATAGAATCATAGAATAGAATCATAGAATCATAGAGTTGGAAGAGACCACAAGGGCCATCGAGTCCAACCCCCTGCCAAGCAGGAAACACCATCAGAGCACTCCTGACATATGGTTGTCAAGCCATAGAGTTGTATTTTTCCTTGTGCAGTGGAACAATCTCCCCCTCTCCTTCCCCCATGTGCCAGCTGAATCTGTTCTGGAAGTTCCCCCAACCCCCTAAGTCTTGCACTAGCACAAAAGTGCCATTGAATACCACCCACAGGATTATAGAATAGTGGAAAAGAGCAATGCTTAGTCATTTCAACCAGACTCTTGCCTTGAGATGATGATAAGTTCAAGAGTAGTACTGTCTACTATGTAGCATGGTGGAGCTGCTATTGAGAAAAAGGCAAAGGCCAAATCTCCCTTGAGCATTCTGTTCTTTGGACCCAGGCCTTGGTGTATGACTTTCTCCACAAATATACTTGCAATGGTTGTGCATCAAATAAATGTATTGTGTTATTTGTCCACAAATCTAAACTGATACTCCTGCATAGACCAGTGGGTATGATCTGAATCAGCAGCAGCCACACAGATAAGTGTGACTGATAATGGTTCTTCATCATCATCACCATCATCTTATTTGTATCCCGCCTTTCCACTAAAACCATGCTCAAGGCAGCTTACAACATGAAAATTACAATTTACAATTACAAACGTAACAAAAGTAGTCATAAACAAGATATACAGCATATCAAAAAGTACACAACCAAACTAAACAATTTCCATATAAATCAAAATTTCTAAAAATAAAGATACAAAAAATTAACATCAACAACAGCAAGGAAAAACCCCATACAATACCCCAACCCAAGACCGTTCAGCAGGTTCACCTTTCATAGCTGGAGTCAGTCAGTCAGTCCCTCGCCCTCCCAGGCCAAGTGGGAAAAGGGCCAGCAAGGCAAGGAAGAAGTGTTCCAGGGCTCACAGTCAAGAAGGTGTCTGGCCTTTTCAGCAGCCTCCTCTTTTGTATCTGGAGTCACTTAGGGCACTGCCCTCTTAGGCCAGGTAGAAAGAGACTAGCAAGGCAGGGAGGTCTTCTAGGACTCACAGCCAAAATGGTTATTACTATTACTAATTAAACAAGTGACTACTATATTGGTTATGTAATTTTTATGATAGAATGATATTAGTGGTTTGCCAAGTAGTTTATGTTAGAAGCATCCATCATTCACACTTAACCAGAGTGTGTGTGGCTACAGTTTGTAGGCAATAGGATGAGACTACTTACTTGGACAGCTTACGGAAACTGGTTTCATTTATTGGGTTATAAATTCTACTAATTGACATTATCAAAAGATAATGTGTTCCTCTATTCACAGGAGGGTCTAACCAATTCTTTCCAGTCCTAGCTGTAAAAAAAATCAGAGAAGCTCAAATATGCTTCCAACCTGCTTTAGAATCAATTGTGTCATGATCAGTAGAAAAAAGTGACCACCTCCATTAGCACTGTTCAAGCACTGCTCTTGGAAAACTATTTGCAGTTGAAAGATCACCACCCACAGATATCCACAGGACACTTAACTACCACAAGTCACTTAAAAAAAATAATTAGTGACCACAAGCAATGTCAAATTGCTTCTCCAAGTACAGCAAAATGATGGAGCAAGCTAAGTTACAAACTAAGGGGGAATAAATTGTAAATAATAGCTAGAGCCTGGAACTTGAAGTCAATCTGAATATTACAGAGGATGATTTTAGAGCAAATCAGAACTGCATTCTGTGCATAGAATATAAATGGCTAGCAGGTTTTTAACTAGGCTTTTTGGAAAGCCTCATAATCATACAACAAGCACAATTACTTCAATAAGCCTTCAGAGTGCTTCCCTATGCAATGGACTGTTTCTACTTACTCCGAAGACTGAATATGTGGTTTGGTGTGTCTAACCCATAGCTATAGCCCTCAAATAAATAACTTTCATGGAGGCAAGATGGTCAATCTGCACACAGATAAGCCACTGAAACCCCAATGACATCTACAGGATTTAGGTAACCTGAGAACAATATTGCAGTCACAATCTACAAAAAGACTTTTGTGGGAAGATGTTTGGACTAGATACAGCCATTGCATTTGACTGATCAAATGTATATTCAAGTATCATATACATAAATTGCCTTATAAATCATCCAATTGTTTGCATTTAGAATCTGATTTCCCCACTTCTCCTTTATTGCTATTTGAAAGGCAGAATGAGTTGGATTGCAGAGAAGACAAGGAAAAAAGTTATTTAAAAAAAATCTGCCAAAAACTATTGGAAGGAGATCCTGTTCAAAGGCTGTGATCCAGTACATGTAGTTTTTATATTGTAAATGCTGGTTCTGGTTCCAGAAAGGAAGAGAACCCTCAAGTTTTAACACACAGAGGCACACACACACACACACACACACACACACACACACCCCCTCGACTAATCCTCTCCAACTCCACGTACAAGCCGCTGTACTTCAGCCCCACCCCCCTGGTGTGCCTCCAACTTTCGGCTTTCCTTCCTGTGATGCTGAGTTAACCCTACTGAGAAAACAGAGCAAACAAACCACCCACTTTCGACGCTGGAGACTTCCTGGAATATTAGCATGCTAGGTGGCAAGTCTTGCCGACTTAAGGATTGAAGACGAAGATGAAAGATCTTTGAAATGCTGCTTGCTATCTCCCCTCTCTTCTCTCACTTCCGCTCTTTAGGGAAATATATCCCCCCTCGTCTTCCTTTCCAAATGATGAGCATTAGGCATGCACTGGCAGCATGGCTTACACACGATTAAAGGAATTAACGTACCTACGTCTTTCTTTCAGCAACCCCAAAAGGCAGCTGGAAAATGTTTTGCCACCTTGCTAGCCCCCCCCCCCCCCCGCAAATGAATGAATTAATAACACAGCATGGGACCGGGAGTAAACAGGTTTTCCTCCGCGAGTGTGCTGCACACAGCAGGTTGCCGAGTTCTCCTCACACACGTCTGCGTGAAAGGTTTACAACATTTCAAAAAGCAGCTTCCAACACAACCCCTGAAGCCACCCACTTTCCCCTCTTCTACAACCGCTAACACACAACGACGAGCTCACACACATGCACACCCTTCGCTGTCATTTCCCCCCTTAGCACGAATTTGCCTCTAACCATCAGTGTGTAGCTCTGTTAGTTGCAAGTGGCACATGCTTCGCTTTGCTCTTTTTAAAATGCCCAGTGCAAAAATCCAATCTTTGCAAACACACATGAGAAATGGAAAAAAGGGGAAAGATTATCCTTACCTCTCGAGGGTCTTCTTTGTTTGGTTTGCAGAGAAGAGAACGTGCCCATTACAGCACCCATTGTAACTGCTACTTGGGTGAGGGGCTACACAAAATATGCTTCCCCTCCCTCCTCCCAGTGAAACACCACCACCCAAAAAAAATCTGTTTGGAATATCTACTCGGAGAAAAAGGAGGAGGGAAAAGCAAAGCACTGCAGCTGAGCGTTCAGCAAGCGTTAAGCTTTCAGATTTTTTTCTCCCCCTTTCAGTCAACACACACATGCACTGACTCACAGCCGGCTGCACTCTTATTATTCAAAACAGCTCCCCATCAAAATTTAAATGCTAGGTAGATTCCCTCAGACCAGAGCTGGCAGCAGATGCATCAAAATATTTACTGGAGCACAGCCACACAAACACACAGGCTAATTTTTTCTCTCGTTTCCTTATGGCTCCAACCAGAAGCCTGTAGGTCTACAGGGAAAACATCAATGCATCTCTTCCATTGTATACTAAACTACCATTCTGTAGGCATGGCGAAGGTCTCAAGGGATGCCAAGGGACTCGGGCTGAGTACCAATCATGAATGAATGAATGAGAACTTGCTGAATGGAAAATAATAGTGAACCAGCTGTCAAAGTTGTGGTTCTGCAGAAAGCTAATTCCTGCTGATTAATGGTCTTGCTAAAAAGGCAGGAAAGAGCAGTCACCTAAAACTCTTCCCAGCCAGAGGACTGGGGAAAGCAATTGCTTTCCTCACAAAAAAATAATAACCAAGAGCTAGTAAACTACACCATGTCCATTGTCCCTATGCTTCTCTTACATGCAGTGTACAGACATGGCATGTGTATTTTAAAAAATGTGAATCACAGTTATTTTAACTTGTGCAAAATATAGAAGGGACACTGGCTGATAGCAGTGCACCACTCTCTTTCCCCTAGAAAATATATGTGATAGGCATCATCATTATCTGAATCCCAATCAATTCCCTTTACTATTCACATTCACATTCCTGCTCCAACCATATAATACTATCTAAATATCACTCTTCAACTGAGGCCTTTGTACTTCTAAGGTTTCAGGGAAATCCAGGTTACACTATGTGTTGGTATTGACCATTTTGGTCAGAATATGATGTAGATTTTCTATTTCACACTAAGAATGAAAAATGGACAAAGGGTAGAGGGAAGTCAAGCCTAATTAAGCAACCAAGTCAGAGCACAGGAGTCAGCTTGCTGATCACACATCTTTTCAAGAGAGCAGCATTTGTGATAATATTTCATGGTATTGTGGAAATACCCTGTTCTACAGCAGAAAAATGTATTCTATCTTAGTGGTTCTATAAGTCATTTCTATATTATTATTATTATTATTATTATTACTATAACAAACATTAACCAAATTGGATACACCAAACAACTTTGATGTACATTAAAAACTATAGATTTCAGATCATTAATAGGGTGAAAATGATTCCCAAATAAAGTTTAGAGTGGTTGTTTTTTTCTAGAATAAGGAACACTTTGCACATATTATTAGAAATATATATATCATTTTACTGCCTCAACACCTCCCTGCCAAAGGATGTAAGGCTAAGTTGTGCCCCAAATATATTTGGGTTTTGTATGGTTGAACCTGATGCTTTGTACTGTGGAGGTTTTTTCTTCTTCTTATGGACTATCACACCCACCCTTGTTTTTCATACAGAAATTACGGCACGGAACTTAAAATAATGCCAATCCATGCAATGTATACCTCACATAGCCTTATTGAATATACCCTCTTACATATCAAAATAGCAAAGTCACAGTAATACCTTTAATAGACCCATCCCAAAAATCACAAACAATGCAATATTTAGTCGGAGCAGGGCATGAATGACAGAAGCTACCCTACCAGCTTGATTACAGCTAGAGATGGTTGAAATCTCCCTAAGAAATAACATCTTTCGTCTTCCCTTGAAATACCTTCACATGTTTCTCCTGGTGTTTCATCTGAACTGCTATGACAATTAAAGATGTGGCCAACATTCTTAAACATCTGAACCCAGTATTGGAACAACATTGCTTTACCATCTCTCAAAAATCCTAAAGTGGCTTTGCCTAAGCAAAACCTTCCCTTCAACTATCTATCTATTCAAAACTCAGTGGGTACTGACAATGCTAATCATGACACAAAGGATGAAATTCACAACCTCTGTGTTGCACAGAGCACCTAATTCGGCCTCCTTTCAGTCTCACTGCCATTCAGTGACAGATCCTTTGTGTGACATTGCATCCTGTTACTCACATTTTGCATGCATCTTTCAAGCGAAACTTGTATTTTTGTGTGCACTTTTTGCATACACACAAAAACATTCAGAAGTACAGAGAAATCCCACACACAATCCCACACAACTTTCCACATCATGACTCATGCATTTTGGGTGACAGCACCGCAACGCTAAAACATGAACATGTAAAATGAATTGCCCTACGTAGTTAATTACACAGAAGAGCTGCC